AGGCTAATCTGCTCCAAAATCAAAATTATCACCATTCTGATTAAAAGCAATGGTGTTATACTGAATAAATTAGATAACTTTTTTTCTAAATTAGAATTTGAATTAAATTTAAATTCTCAAATCGAGTTTTTAAGAAAGTATTTTGAAGATTAGCGACAACAGTTTTAACAAAAGTATGAATATCAACGGAATTGTTGACACAACCGAATATTTTGGTACATCTTCATATGTCAGTTAATTTATTCATCAAACTCTTGTTATCTTATCATATGATCTTTACTTTTAGTTTTTACATTACTTTATTTACTAATTAGTAATTAGTAATTACTAATTACTAATTATACTGAATCCCTAATCTCAGAATTGGAATTTATATAGCATTTCAAATTATTGACATTTAAAATTATTTCTCGAAAACAATCTTCTTGTACAGTATACAAAACATCTGAACAAACACTACTTATTCCTTTGTTACGAAACTTTTCCAAAAAAAAATTCTCAAATCATCAGCAAGAGTTGCGCACATACAACAAAAACAGAGTTAGACAAGAGAATAGCAACAAAACGCACGTTATAATATCCGTAAACATAACCTTCGACAAAAGCGTTGAAACACGTTACGTGACCGGAACGAAACACCGGAATCTGCCAGATTCAATATTAAGATTCAAAAATTCCCCCAACAATATTTCAATATCTAACATTAAATCTCTACAACAAATCAATGATACAGTCTAAAAACCATTGTAGATGTTGCTGTGTGTAAACAAAAAATAAATTCATCAAATTTACCCTCTCTTGGAGTCTGCGCAGAAGGTAACCTTGAAGGTAAAGACGATGAGTGGGAGTAAAAAAAAAGAAGAGTGAACACAAAAGGGGGTAAACAAAACACTGTGCGGCGAAACTTTCTCAAAGTTTGTCAGAAAAAAAAACAAACACAATATTATAAATAATTGATAAAGAAACAAAGCATGAAAATAAACGCAAACAATTCACAACAAGCCTAACATCGCGAACGGCCGCCGCGGCACTGAAGACTGAATCTCGCGGACACCTGTCGAGTGTATCGACAACGACGCCACCATGCGGTGATCTCCCTTCCTTCTATCCTCTACAATTTACCTTTTGGCTCGCTCGCATGTGAAAACCTTTGAGTATATATTCTTGAGAGACCCTCGCTGCTATACAATATCAAATATCACCGAATAAATGCCGGTAACAAACGTTGACTCGTCAATATAAAATTGTTAAATTACCATAACAAGAAAAAAATGCATATACCAAAAAAAAATAGGGTAAGGTGCCCCAAGATGCCCACCCATCTTTTGAAAGACTGTAATTCCTAAACGGTATTATATAACATAATTAATAATACATGCCCTGAAACTGTACCTCCTTAGCTAACTTTTTAGCAAAAATTTTTTTTTTATTTTACTAAGGAAAATAAAACTTAGGCGACTTTGGAAAAACAGCTGAAATTTTGCTTAAAAAAAAAGTGTCCCCAAGGTGGCCACCATTCAAAAATTCACCGAAAAATTAAAATAATAGTTGCAAAATTTTGTTTACCTTAGGGCCTTCTACCCTACATTATTTTCTTTATAGTTAAAAATGTAACCAAACCTAATACTTAAATAAAAATTTTAATAGCTTAATTAAATTTTTCAAATTCTTCTTTTTAATTATTGAAATTCTTTTAAAAGTTTAATTCTTTTAAAAGAAGTGTTTTCGAGGTCTGATTACAAATCTAAAGAGAGATTTTCAAAATGAAGGATCCAATATGGCGGACACTTTTTTCAAAATTGCTCAAATTCTCTCGACACTTGTTACTCCCGAATTTTTGAAGTCGTCTTTTAGAATTTTGAAAATCAGACTTCAGATTCGTAAACAGCGACCCCAAAAACCCCTGAGTAACAAGTTTCAAGCGAATTTGAGCAATTTAAAAAAATGCCGCCATATTGGATCCGCCATTTTGAAAATATGACTTCGGATTTGTAATCAGCGGTCCCTAAAACCCCCGAGTGATAAGTTTCAGGCGAAGACTTGGAGCTTTTTTAATTCAGGCCGCCATATTGAATCCACCATTTTGAATTTTGACATTCTGTCTTTAAACATATATTCGTTGACAAAGAAAATTTAAAAAACGAATATTGACAAATTCACCAATTTTAGAAATTTCAAATATTAATATCTCAGTACGGAGAAAAATATAAAGTCAGGGGTGGCCGCAAAATTTTCTTTTCAAAATTCCCTGACTTTTCCCTGACTAACAAATTTTTGAATTATTTAATATTCTACATTGTTGATTGAAATGTTTATAATGCTTTTTCAAAATCAAAAAAGCTGCACAGTAAACGAAAACTAATTGAAATGAATTAAAAAGAATTCACAAAGAGCTTTCGTGAATCCCGCTTTGTGACAAATACGAATTGGAGCCATGATGCAATTTTCCTGAATTCGTGAAACTGTATTGAACTTCCGAACCTTCTATCCGTACCAATTCACTGGACAAGTTTTGAGCCTTTAATTTTTTTCAATTCGTTAGCACGAATTCAATGCATTCCTTGGCCATTTCTTTCGAATGCGAATTCGTTTGGACAAATTGGTACATATTGAATTAAATTCAATTGAATATACAAAGAGCTTGAGTGAATCCCGCTTTGTGACAAATACGAATTGGAGCCTACCAAAAATGTTAATTCGTTTCAATTCATTTGAATTAGTTTTTTTTTACTGGGTGATTATTGAAAATTATTTTTAATAACTGTGTTGGAAAAGTATAAAAATAGACAAATGGGAATTTAAATTATCTGGACAAGACAATATAAATATAAAAAAAAATTCAAACAATCTAGATAATAGATACAATATTTTACGAATGATAAATAATGAACAGACGTCAGAGTCTGAGGAAAAAATTTATAAATTTAACTTTTAAAAAATAAATCTTTTTTCCTTCTCACAAAAAACACTGACTACCATTATTTCAATCGTTTTTCTGACCATTCATCAGACTAAAATAGTTTGATTTTCAATCAATTTATCCATCTGTTTATTAAACAATGACGTAAGAATTGTGTAGTTAAATATCATCGCAGAAATGAATGTACATAACCTTGAGTTTTAAGTATACCTATTACGCCAATATTTACAAATTATTTAAAAGTAATTATTATTCATATATTAATTTTTAGATTTTTTACCAAAGGGTAAAGACTATTCAATAAGTAAAGTGTTTTTCAAGAGCCCAAAAATAATGAAGCTAAATGCCATAAAAGAGAAGAAAAAATGATGAATTCTAAGAAATTCGGTTTTTCGAATTTTTGATCATTTTTGATAATTTTAGATTTTTTACCAAAAAGTGGAAACTATTAATTCAGTAAAGTGTTTTTAAAGAGCACAAAAATATTGGAGCTAAATGCCATTAAAGAGAAGAAAAAATGATGAATTCTAAGAAATTCGGTTTTTCGAATTTTTGATAATTTTAGATTTTTTACCAAAGGGTGGAGACTATTAAATAAGTAAAGTGTTTTTTAAGAGCTCAAAAATAATGAAGCTAAATGCCATAAAAGAGAAGAAAAAATGTTGAATTTTAAGAAACTAACACGAGATTCGTAATCAGCGACCCCGAAAAAATAATTACAAGTACTTAATTTCTATCAAGTTAATTTAACACTTTTGTTTACCTCTGACGATTTTTGAAATCCTACTGAACCAAGTAAAATTAATTCAAAATTAATTCAATTCTAAATAAATTCAGTAGATGTATATTAATTCTACTTAAAGGAAATAAAAAAGAATGGGGGGTGAGGGGGCAAAGAAAAGAAGAGGTGAACAAACATATGAAATTGTGTTGCAGTCGAGAACAAGAATTTCAACCTCTACAATGAACTTTATCCTAGCAATGCAAGTAAATTGTTTGCCTTTTTGCTTGCTCGAGCCAAAATTTCATCAGAATGAAAATTTCTCTTCCCAGACGACATGAGAAAATGTATCTTTGTTCTTTGTCGGAGTATATTCAACGTGTGTTCGAGGGTGAAGAGTGAGGATAGTTCTTGATGCGAAGAGTGTAGACGGTAATTGTGTGGTGAAAAAATAATCAGCTAGTACAGCACGTACACGGGTACTTCTGTCACAAGTGTACGCTCGCACGCATTGTCGACTCAACGAATTTAAGAAAAAAAAAAAGAAGTAGTAGTAGTAGAAGGGTACTTGGGAGGGTTTCTCCACTTAGAATAAAATACGAGTACTTTGCACGCGAACGAAAGCCAACAATCCCCCAGTCGAACACTTCATTTTTACCTCTTTTATAAACTAAAATCGAATTTCACGAGACAATATACATAAAAAAATAATTCACTTAATAAAGTGCAAGACTTTTTTGTTAAAAATTTTATTGAAAAAGAATAAGAAAATCTGTTAGATTAGCTGTTTCTAAATACATTAACATTATGTTATTGTATTTAGAAACAGCTAATCTAACAGATCATATGCACCAAACTCTTATGGGTTGCAAGTCCCATTTTACCCCATTTGAATTTAAATTCCTGCCTATCTGGGTCAGTTGAAAACACCTGCACTGCTCACATTGTTTCTTTTTACTGTTACCACCCTTAGAAAGGATTCCGTTTTGCATACACGTTTTTGGGTGGCAACCTGCTGTTGACTTACTAACTCAAATTCAGCATCCACGTGTCGGTATTTATTCGCAACCCTCTTTATTTGACTTTTACAACACGCGTTAGGGTCGGGATAATCAATTCTAAAGCCGGAGGTCTAGTCAGTCTTTCAACTAAAAGGCTTTTTTTTTACCTAATTCGTTTAACGTAAAAAAACTTGGGGTTGTCGTGTCATAAAAGAATAATATAAATAATTAACTTATGAGAAGATCCTGGTAATTTTCAAGGAATATTTCCATAAAAACTGAAACTTTAGCGAATTCCAATGGACTCGCGAATTATTAATTTAATCTTAGAAGAAGAAAAGATATAATTACAACTCACCGGAATGTATCCATCTGGTTGGGGTCTGTCCGAGTCTCTGAAAAAAAACAAAAAAAATTATTGTAAAATATTGTAAATTTCGATAGGAAATCTATAATTCATTTTTTGACAGATAAATTCTCCATACCTATTTCTTCGTTGAATTACAGGTGTCTGTGGTGTGCTGTCATGAATGATAACTTGATTCGCATCTATTTCCTCGCACTCACTACTGTCATCTGACATTTCTAGTGTAAACAAGAAATGGAAAAATTATATTTAAAAACATCAATACTTCCACCAATTTAAAGATTGTAAATTAAATAAAAAGCAATTTGTCTAAATAAATATTAAGTATTTTTTCTTCAATAATGTCAAAACAAATTAAATATTGATTTTTATTATACAATTATAATTATATGTAATTAAGAAAAATAATTTGATTTTTGATATTAAAAACAAACCCTAAGAGATGGAATGATTCAAAAAATGCAACCCTAGGTAGCCTAAGGACCCCAAGCACCCTAAGTAGAATAACTTTTATTTATATTTTCTTTACTCTTTGCTTTTCATTTAACTTTTGAATTAAGTACTTTTACCCTATGTACTTTAAGTAATATAAGCAACTATGTCCGCCAATTATTCTAATTAAATTAATTAGCTAACAAACTAAGAAGACTAATTGATATTTTATACTCTTTTTGTTTCAACAGGCCTCGCACTCATCTACTAAAACCTACTAAGTTGCTTAACTACTCTAAGTACTTTAACTTCACTAAGTTCTTTTAAGTACCTTAAATTCTTTAAGTTCTTTAAGTATCTTAAGTAGTTTAACTACCTTAAGTACCCTAAGTACCTTAAATACTCTAAGTACCTTAAATACTCTAAGTACCTTAAATACTCTAAGTTATTTAAGTACCTTAAGTAGTTTAACTACCTTAAGTACCCTAAGTACCTTAAATACCCTAAGTTCTTTAAGTGCCTTAAGTACCCTAAGTACCTTGAATACCCTAAGTTCTTTAAAGTGCCTTAAGTAGTTTAACTACCTTAAGTAGTTCAACTATACACAGTAAAAAGTAAATCTTAATTTAAGGTCAGTCTTAAATTCAGCACTGTCTACTATAATGTTAAATCATACAAAATCCATTGCTTAAATTCAGCATTGACTGTCTTAAAAATATTGCGTCTTAATTTAAGACTGAATATAAAAACTCACCTTGGAAATCTTTCTGACGACGCAATCGTGATAACGTCGGACTGTGACACGGACTTATTTCGCAGCCAAGTAAGTCATCAATATTCGTATGAGTACCAATAAAAGAAGGAGCATTAGATGATCTTTTGCGAGGACTATATCGCTTGTTTGCTGATACTGGATTATTATCATAGGGAGAGTCACGTCCACCATAATTGTCAGGAGGCTCTGGAGGATTTTCAACCTAGAACATGATGTAACAACATAAACATTTTAAATCGTTAACATCAAAGTTTTATTTATAATTTTAAATGTTCTCTTAAACTAACAAAGTTGTTAACACTGCACTATAAAAAGAAAGGTACGAATTTATAGTACCAATTTTGATACTAAATCGTAATTTGTTTTAGGGCCCGTTTCACCAACTCCGATTAAAAGTTAATCAACGATTAAAGTCATTTTAACAGCCCATGATTGGTCGGTTAAGGATTTAATTGATTAACTTTTAATCGGAGCTGGTGAAACTGTCCCTTAATTTTAATACCGAAATCAGCTCTAAGTTAGAACCTTTCTTTTTACAGTGTGCGGCGAACTGTTAATACTGACATCAGCGCAAAAGACATCCTAAAATTTGTACCCTGATTATTTAATTTTAAGTTACAGAACTTACCCCTTCTGGACTGGCTCTATCTCCCAACGGTTCATCCGGCGGCGGTGGTGGAGGAAATTCTATAGGAAATTTCGGAAGTCCTCGCTTCTTTTTCTCCTCCTCTAATTCAACACCAATATCTATTCTATCGTACGAGCCCGACGAATCTGAATTACTATTCGAAGTCTCTGTGGAAATTTTACGAACTCCTTCGGGAATGTTTGAATTACTATCCATCCACCAGGCCCTCTCTCCAGATTCGATATGTCTGATTCTGTTAATTGTTTTCGGCGTTGATTCCCGATCGTTATAGCTTTCCGAATTTGTTTTCGGTGGGGAGGCAGGTATGACGACGACACCTTCTGGAATATTATGTGGATCATCACTCATCCACCAGGCTCGTTCTCCTGATTTTTGATGCCTGAGCAGATTTAATTTATCCCCTGACTTCGACTTTGAACTCCCTCGACTTGAAACTCTTGTCGATTTTGAGGAAGAAGATCGTTTTTTCTCTTCCCTCCTCTCGTCATCATCCATCCACCAGGCTTTCTCCTCGGAATCTTGCCGCCAGACTTTGAACTTAAATTTACCTGAAGAAGAGAGAAATTGTTTACTTTAGAAATGATACCTTAAGAACAGTTTTCTAAGGATAACCAGAGCTCGAACCAGTGAAAGTATTTAAAAATACGGACTTTACGGACCAAAAATAAAAAAATGGCGGACCATTTACGAACCAATTACTAACAAAAATATAACCAGTCCGAGGAGCAACACTTTTGATTCTTTTTTTTGTCTCAATTTTGACTGTAGAAATTGAATTCTATTTTCGATAATTAAATAATTAGGGAAAACAAATAATTTTCTTACCATCATCTGGTAAATTTGTGCTGACAGTCGTTTCTTGGCTAACATCATCATTTCCAATATTCTTCTCTATTCCTTCGGGTACATTCTCGGAATTCGAGTCCATCCACCAAGGTTTTTCCCCCGAACCTTGATGTCTTAGTCTTGATGAACCTTTTTGGGAGTTTTTATCAGAATTAGAGGAATTGTAACTTTTCGAAGTTTGTGAAGAAGCTCCATTGGGGGTCTTTTCCGAAGAACTGGAGTGAACCCAATCGGTTTTCATTTCCCCAGAATCGGGTTGTTTGCCTTTAAAGAGTCCAGTGACAGGTGCTAAGGCCCTCATTAAAAAGCTCTTGGCCTCTTCGGTCTTCCCGCTTCTGTCTTGCTTCGATCTTGGACTAGGTGGTGGTCTTGGTGGTTTATCCATCGTTAGGGACAATTCATCAGCAGACGAAGCCAAAACACTAGTTCTTGACGATCCAGTGCTCATGTGACTTTTTCCTTCCGCGAATGGCGACTCACTCGCTCTTTTTCCTCTCCTCGAACTTGACCTATGCTGATGCATCTCATCTTCCTCTTCTTCACTGCCAGACGAATCCGTTGAACTTGTTTCGCAACTCACTTTCGAATGGGAATTATTTTCTGAATCTACTTTACCATTCTCTCTACTTGAAGTATCTGATTTTTTCGTGCAAGTTGGTTCCGAATCTTGAGAATTGTTTCTTTGAAATTTTTTCTGTGATTTTTGAGAACGTGTAGGATCGCCATTTTCCATATTAAGCACAGATTTACGAAAATCTTTATTTACGTACTTAATGCCAAATTGTGTTGTGTTCTTCATTGTGACCTCGTTTTTGGGAACAGGTGGTTTTCCACGCGTGTCCGACGAATTGACTTGCCGCGAACTAACTGAACTTCCACTAGAAGAGGAAAATTTCCCAGGCGAAGGAGGTGATGGAGACATTGTCTTTATTTTTGCGCTATGATTCGTCATGGAATTAGTTGACGATGAGGACTTTAATCTGCCAGTTGGCACAGTGACAACGGAAGAACCCTCTGACGAGTCGGTTCGCGTCATTTGACGAGGTAAGTTTTTCAACGAACTATTTCGCGATATCGACTTTGACTTGGATGATGCACTGTTGTCCGACCTCTGTTGTACGTCCTTCCGTAAATCTTTGCCTTGGCCTCTTGGAACTTGATTGTCTTCGTGGGTGGATGAATTGGAACTTGAACTCTTCTGACTGTTTGAAGTCTCTTGTTTTTCCGAAACATTTCCCTCATGTTGAGACGAATTTTCACTAGAGTTTCTTCTTTCTTCTGAAACATCCGATTTTCCGTTCTTTGATTCCGAACTCTTAGGCGTGGCGAAACTTTTCGAATTAGACTTTGAAGAATTCGAACTATCGCTGTTTCTTCTTTTCGCTTTATCACTATTCCCCTGTTTTTGCTCCCGACCAGAAATATCACTTCTAGAAGAACTTGGACTATATCCGTAATTACCCAAACGTGGTGAATAGTTTCTCGACGTACTTCCAGTAGAATTAAATCTATCAAGATAGGAAACCCAAGGTGCACTAGTAATTCTGGTATGTCCGGTAAATCGCGATATTCTCGAATTATTATCATTTCCATCGGCTTGTACTTCCTCGTCCTTTGTGGTTAATGTCTTTGGTGTTCGGATCACTTCTTTTTCGATAATTTTGCATGAATCAAATTTTCGTGTTCCACCGAGTGATGTGGAGGTTGGCTGGGTTGGTGATGTACCTCTTGAAACAACTCTCAAAGAAACTGTTCCACTTTTGTCCGACTTCTTTTTACCATCGACTTCATTTACACTTGATTGATTCACGTGCCTGAAATTTTTATCCACCTCGTCTTGATGTAATTGTCCACTATTCTTCGTTTTATTTTTAACTTCGTCTTCGTCTCTTAGCGGGCTACTCGAATTTTTGTTGCTTGCTCGAATTCTGTCCGAGCCTGAGTAACTCACTGTGCTTGGAAATCGATCCAAACTGTTTCGCGACGATAATGAATATCTTCCAGTTGACGAGGCGCATCTTGATAAGGATTCCGAAGAGGGTTCTGATACATCTGAAAAGAATCAAAGGAAAAATAACGAAATTAGTCAAATAAAAGAAAAAAGAAAGAAAGAATCAAAGGAAAAATAACGATATTAGTCAAGTAAAAGAAAAAAAGAAAGAAAGGTAGATAGAAGAAAGAAAAAAGGAAGAAAAATATTATAGGAAGAAAGAAAAAAAAGAATGAAGAAAGAAAGAGGAAAGAAGAAATGGTAAAACAAATGTATAAAGCAGTAAAAAAAAGTCTACGTACTGGAAGCAACGCTGTGTCTGCCATAAGATGGGGTTCTGGTGCTGTACATTTTTAAGGAGTTTATTTTCGGGTTAGTGACGTCAGGGCTTGGTTCACGTGAACTTCTTCCGGAACTTGCTCGAATGTTCCGATATGAAACAGGCGGAAGTTCGGTTCTCTCTTTTTTTTCAATTTTTCTTTCACTTCCTAAATTCCTGCTGAGACTTGACCCGGGATATGTACTTGAACGATAACAAGAAGCTGTAATTTCAGGTTCTCTACTTGTTGCTCTTGGTGTTGAACGATTATATTTGTCAAATCTTGTAAACTGAAGATCAGAATTTCCACCTGGTGATGAATATTTTTCTATAATCGACGTTCGTCCACTGACTCCTGGACTTTTTGACGTGAGATCGTCAATCGATGATCTCGACGGTCGTAGTCTGTCTTTATCGTAACTTTTCGAACCTGAAGAAATAATAAAAAATTTGTTCAATTGTCAAAAGTATTATATTTAGTGAATATTTTGTTTTATCACAATTAACTACTAAATATTTTATTTAGTCAATTTAGTGCCTTAATTTATGCAATCAATAATCTACTAAATATTTAATTCAGTAATTAAAAAATTCTCTAAACTACTTCTTATTATAAAATCATTTAAGGATCATATTACAGAGAAAAATTATCATAAATGTGAGATGTTAATTTTACTGCAGTTGAATCATGCAAATAGAGTAAAGGAAGCATAAACTTAGACTACACTTATTAATCCATTTGACATCAAATCTCGGTCATCTGCAAAATATATTCACTCTCTTAGCGACGTGTGAATTTATAGAGCACCCCCCATGAAAGATCTGTTGTCCAAGAGACATTTTAATCAAGAAGATAATTTTATAATTCAAATATGAGGGGAGAAATCAGTATTTTATAAACTGCATCAAACCTTCAGATTTGTTTAGATAATTTTCAATTACTAAAAGAGTAAAAATTATTAAATCAAATATTTTCTCAAGTACCTAGACTGTTAATTGATGATAAATTTCTTCCATAGTTGCTAGAACCCACATTCGTCCTAGGTTTATACGTTCTGGAGTCGTTCTGAAAATTAAAATGTAGAAACTATAGATATGTTTTATATTCATGACGAGTTCCGAAAAAACGTACCTAAGAAGTAAAATACATATTCGAAGGTTATGTTTGTCGTATTTTTACCTTAATTTCGGTTTCGGCGTTTAAATTAAAACTAAAATCAGATTTTCATAATTTGGATGTAACGAAGACTTAAATATTTATAATAATTTATATTGAGACTTGATCTCCTTTGTGTATTTTCATTTCAAAAATTACAAACATAACCTCAATTTTGTCGCTTCTTTGGTACCTTTCCCCAGAGCGCGTCACATTTATTTATTTCATAAACAAATAAACTTATATTTCAATCATGTACAATTTTTATAAAAGAATTCGAGGATTAACAAACTATATACGTTAAAATTTATTCTCTAAAAAAATTGAAAAAAAAGATGTGAAAATTAATAGAAAATTAATTTACAATCACACTGATCAAACTAGATAAGAAATTAAAATATTTTGTGCAAATAAATAATAAAGAAGATATATTACATTGATCGCACTGAAAACTGTGAATTACACATTTCTTGTGGAAATCTGCCAAATTTGGATCATCCTGTACCGTGTGCCAATTAGGCTAAACTGGGCTTCTAATTTGAAAACATAAAATAAACAAAAAAAAATATCTAAGTAATAATTCAAAAACCACCGATTAATTAAAAAATACACTCAAAAATCAAAATTTAAATAAATTGTTAAGAAGTTAAATTGAAAGTTTTATATTATTCATTTTATGTGTCAGTAACTCATACTAAAAAAAAGAAGCCTGTTTAGTTAATAAATATTTAGTTATTAATTAATTTATTTATAATCCAAATTACTCTCTAAATTTGAATTAGTTAAAATAAACTATAACAAAAAGTCAATTACTTTTCGAGAATTTTCAAATCCATTTCTTTACAATACAATTTTACGTGTCGATTATTCGGAAATTCTTCAATTAAATATAATGTAGAAAATAAAAAATTCAAATAATTTTAAAAAAAATTCAATTAAACTTTTTCAAAAAAAAAAAAATTAAATCTAATTATAAGTTAAAAGTATGAAAAATTTTGATTTGCAACCTTTTTAAAATTCAATTATTGCTAAAAATTCATGCTATAATGCTTTTAATATTGTGAAGAATTTTATGAAAATGTTTTAAATAATTTAATTCCTACTATGAATTTTGTTCTTTATAGAAATAATTGAATTCTTACCCAAAATTTTGTTATTTTTAAAAAGATAATTGAATTCTTTACAAGAACTTTATTTGAAAGTTTTAAAAATAATTGAATTTCTGCGAAGAATTTTATGGAATTTTTGAAAATAATTGAAATTCCTGCTAAAAATGTTGTTATTTTTGAAAATAATTGAATTTCTGCGAAGGAAGAATTTTATGAAATTTTTGAAAATAATTTAAATTCCTGCTAAAAATTTAATTATTTTTGAAAATAATTGAATTTTTGCGAAGGAAGAATTTTATGAAATTTTTGAAAATAATTGAATTTTTGCGATGAATTTTGTTATTTAAAATGATAATTGAATTCTTGCCAAGAATTGTAAATAATTACATTTTCAATAATAATTTAATATTTACGAAGAAAATTATGAAAAGTTTAAAAAATAATTATGAATTTCTTCGAAGAAGTTTATATAAAGTGATTGAAAATAATTGAATCATGTTAAAAATTTTGTTATTTTTAAAAATTATTGAATTTTTACCAAGAATTTTGATATTTATAATGATAATTGAATTTCTTCGAAGAATTTTGTAAAACAATGTTTAAATAATTTAATTTTTTCTAATGATTTTTTCTTTATGGAAATAATTGAATTCTTACCAAGAATTTTGTTATTTTTGAAAAGATAATTGAATTTTTGTTCAGAACTTTATTAAAACTTTTGAAAATATTAGAATTTTAGCGAAGAATTTTATAATAATTTTTGTAAATAATTGAAATTCCTACTAAAAATGTTGTTATTTTTTAAAATAATTGAATTTCCGCGAAGCATTTTATAAAAAATAATTAAATTCCTGCGAAAAAATTTGTTCTCTACGATTTTATTAAATTTTTTTTTTGAATAATTGAATTCTTTTAGAAAATTTTACTAAAATAGTAGATATTAAAAATCATTGAATTGAGGGAAATTTTTGAAAATAATTGAAATTTTGCCAAGAATTTCATTAAAATTTTTGAAAATAATTGAATTACGGAGAAGAATTTTATTATTTATATAAAGATAATTAGAAAATAATTGAATTTCTGCAATCATTTGTAATTTCTCTAAAATTCCCCAAATTAGTAATTTTCAATTAATAATTAGTTAGTTTTAACAAATTCAGATTTAGAGAAAAAGTATGTAATTAAAAAAAAGTTCTTCAAAATTTAGAAAATAATTAGTAAAAGCAAAAAAAAATTTCTTTTTATAAAATTGACATGTTTTGACAAGGATGTTAATAGTTCCGAAATTAGACGACTTGTCCCGAAAGATGCCGACAAACAAGTAAATGTGGTTCTGTTGTTTATGGCAAATTTTCTCAGAAAATGCGCGCTAAATTCTAAATCTGCTCAGCGAAATAATAGCATTAAAAAAACGACAAAGGATTTTTTTTAATTTTTAAAAACCAAATATTTTAACATTACAGTATTCACTACAGACATGATAATTTTAGTAACGAAATAATTAAAATTGAAAATAGTTTTTTTCCAAAAATATAAGTTTGCAAATTTTTCATTCTTTTGGTGAAAAAAAAACAAATAAAATCTTTATAATGAATAAAATGCATTTTTCAGAATGAAATGCATTTTTCAGAATGAAAATTATGAAAGAAAGTGTTGATTACAATTTTTAAAAATAGAACTAAATTTATCAGTAAACAATTCTATTTGTTTAATTAATTGTTTAATTATTTAATTATTTAGATGAATGTAATTTTTTTTCCAATTTATAAGCACAAAATACTTAAAATAATTTCTCAGACTAAACATTCAATTCTAATTGCATAATTCTGTTTAAAACGAAACGCCCATTCTATGTTTTTACTTTTCTCTTCTACTTTATATGTTGACTTTATTTTAAATTCAACTTCAAAGTAGTAAAATTAACTTTTATCTGAAAAACTACTTTTTTTAACTTAACTTTCAGGAGTGTAAATATTTACAGAAATAATTTTATCATAAATTATTTTTTTTTAATAGAAAGGAAACTTTGTAGCAAATAGAAACGAAAAACGGAATTATTTTTTATATCACAAACTTGATGTCCACAACTTTAATCAACGAAAAATTTGTTTAATGTTTCCGAATACTTCTTTTAAGAAATATTTGTTGAAACAAGTAAAAAATTATTTTTTTAATATATGTATTTTTAAATCAATATTGTTGCGTTATTTTTAAATAATAGTATTGTTTATTTTATTGAAAAAAATTTGAACGTTGTGTACTTCAAACTTGTTTTTATCTTTGGTTTTTAGATCCTCAAATTTTTTTATAACAGAAAAAATATCATTCGTTTCATTCCGCAGCAAATCGAAAGACAATTTTTTAAAAACATTGAATACACAAAGCTTAGAATAATTACCAAAATTAGTACTTACGTAATTTCTAAACGAAGACATGACAATCTTGCAATTTTCTTTTCACTAAATGCAGAATAAAAATTTCCGTTCTTTTATATTTTCGGGATGTTTACGTCGACTAAACACTGTCGCACAATTAACTCACACAAATAAACATCACTTGAAACTGATTTTAAAAATAATTGCTTTAAAAAAAAAAAAAATAATCAATTGAGACGTGGCGCGAAAAACTAGTTAAATAAAAAAAAATTCTTTTTTCCAATTGATCTACATAGGAAGAGGAAGAAAAGCGCGTGAGCGCAAATGAACGTTGTTTTAAAGACGAAGCTGAAATCGTCAAGTGCCGGCGACCCCAGAAACACGTCGTGGTTCCTCTTCCTTTTCATTTACATGTACACTTGACATCTCTTTCTCTGTTTATCTCATTCCGGTCTTCTTTTTTTTTTCTTCTTCTTTTCTCTTGATGCGATACGTTCATTCGCTTGTACGCACTCTCAAGCCCTATTTTAAGAATAGCTATAATCGCTATCTTACTCTCACAAACACGATCGCGCAACATCTCTCTCAACCCTAGTCCAGGCACAAAAATACGCGCCCGTCGTTGCGAGCTTTCAAAGCGCCATAGAATTTTGTCGATCGCAAAATAATGGAAAGTAACAATAGAGATATTAATTAAATGGCGTCAATTATAATTGTTCGGTCAAATTTTGGTAAATATCAAAAATTATTATTTGTAGCTTTTTCTTTTTCAAATCATGATAATGGTAAACAGAATGAATATGGGCTTTATATTTTAGAGAAAAATAATTGAAAAAACGGTTTTAACAAAAAGCAAATATTTTAACAATACACACGGAGAAAATTGGAGATTTTATTGCATTCAGTACGGCAAAGATATGGGATGAAAGGTCCAAACAGAAATTTTTCCTAACAACTTTTTCCCTGTACGATAAAAAATAATTTTATTAAATAATAATAGAAAAGGCATTAAAATTACGATATATGTATTAGCGCTTCAAGTACTAAATTAAAACTTCAACTGAGTCTTTAAAATTTCACTGACAGTTCGGTAAAACGTAAAATAAGTGTTCGCTATATTTATATTTACTGAATAGTTTGGTAAAACTATGTTCTTATCTATTAATCTGAATTTTTTTTTATCGCTTGTGAGAAAGATTCAAATCAATAAAATATTTTAAAATATACCAGGCCTCGCAATCATCTACACAAAACTTACTAATTACTAATTTTTTTACGATTTCCTACTCTTTGGATACTTTTTTTATTTGTAAAAAAGCTAAAAGCTAAAAGCTACTTTTTTCCATGTTTGAGAATTTTCACTACTTTCAATTTGTTAACAGTTGAAATCAAAAAAATTATTTTTAAAATTTTAATAAAGTTATTGGAAAAAATTCAAAAAATTTTAATAAAATTCTTTAAAACGATTCAATTATTTTCACAAATTTTTCGTAATTCAATGATTTTTATTGTCTAGGTACTATTGTAATAAAAAATTTACAAAAGAATTGAATAATTTAAAAAAAAATTTTATAAAATTCTTCGCAAACATTCAATTATTTTCATAAATAAAAAAATTTTCACAAGAATTCAATTATTTAAAACAGAATTTTAGTAATATTTTTCGAAAAAACTAAATTATTTAAATATATTTTTTTTTTAATTTTTCTCAGGAATACAATTATTTGAAAAACTTTATTAAAGTTCGGTGACAAAATTCAATTACTTTCATAAATTTTAAAACTCATAGTAAGATTTCAATTATTTTTAATACAATTTTAAATGAATTTCGCGAAAAATGCAAAGACTATTCATAAAAGTTTTAATAAAATTCTTTGAAAGAATTGAATTATTTTAAAAAATTTTAATGAAATTCTTTATAATAATTGAATTGTTTTCAATATAATTTTAATACAATTTTCGAAAGAATTCAATTAAAGAATTCAATTAAGAATTCAATGATAAATTAATAATTGAATTGTTTTCAATATAATTTTAACAAAATTTTTTGAAAAAATTCAATTATTTTCATAAATAATATACAATTTTCAAAGAAACTCAATTATAAAATTATTATAAAAATACTCAATTATAAAAACACAATTTTTATAAAATTTATTGAAAAACTCATTTCTTTAAAAAGATTTTGTTAAAGTTCTTCTCAAGAATGCAATTATTTTAGAAAAATTTATTAAAGTTCAGTGAAAAAAATTCAATTATTTTCATAAATAATAAAACTCATCGCAGAATTTCAATTACACGGAGAGACCCACATTTGCAAAAATTACTAAAAATGGTTGCAATGACCGGAAATAAGGGGATTTTTAGCATAATATACTACAGAATTAGATAAATTTACAAAAGAAATAGATAAATTTGCTACATTGAAATAGCAAGTTTTAATATTTTGTGTAAGAGTTGTAAATGTAGCGAAAATTGATTATAGTTTTCTCTAATTTAATTAGACAAAATCTGACAAATGAAGACATTTTCCACTAAAACTTTCTATCCACTGTAGTAATTTTTGGTGAGCAAGTGTGGCTAGCGAGCGCAGTCATATGGCGCCTGCATTTCTATTGGTTGCTAACTTCGTCAATCTCCGTAAATGAGCCGATGCCATCCGATCATTGACAGTGACTATGTTTCGCGTATGTAAAATAAATTTGGATATTATCTACAATAATTAAATATAAAGGGAAACGTAGGTCGTTCGTTATCTCAGAAAGTGACCATTATAAATTAATAAATTTTGCATCTATTCCTGTCCCAAGAACTATGTCTTATAATAAGTTGTTAAAAGTAAACTGCTTTCTCGTAAGTGCTGTAAATTTTCATCATTCAATATATAAGGAAACAAAGATGTATACTTTCAGTGAAATTCGTCGTCGTGCGTGCAGTTGTGTATTAGTGTATTAGTTAACCGCGTCTATACATATAAGTGAAATAAACATGTGTGTGTCTTCAAATATTTATCCAACAAATATATAAGTGTGTGTGTGTCTGTGTATGTAAAAATCCTTCCAGTTTGTCTCCATTAGTCAAGAATTGACGGGAAACCGGCGACAAAAATCCGTATTTTTTCTTTTCACTCTTTCTTTCTGCATTTACAACGACTATAGTAATTTTACGTACACAATACTTCTGAGTTTACTACAGTTGTTTGGAACTATTGGACGAAATAGTAAGAAACTTTGCTAATTTGGTGAATATTTGTCGGATTAGTGACTTAGTGTAGAAAATAGTAAAAAATACAAAAAATCCCCTTATTTCCGGTGGTTGCAATGTGAATATAGTAAATTCTAGTGTGATTTTATACAAAAATTAGTAATCTCGGTCTCTCCGTGTATTTTTAATATAATTTAAAATTAATTCCTCTAAAAACACAATTATTCTTAAAAATTTGTATAAAATTCTTCGAAAAATTAAATTATTTAAAAAAAATTTGAATGAATTTGTTTCTTAGAGTGTAATAATTATTTTCAATTCGTTTTCAATTACAATTCTTGGATGAATTTAATTATTATCAAAAATTTTAATGCAATTCTTGGTAAAAATTCAATTATTTTAAAAAATGTTGATAAAATTCTTTAAAAGAATTTAATTTTAAGAAATATTCAATTATTCAATAAATTATTTATTTTTGTATTTAAATAATTGAATTCTCGTAGAACTTTCTAATAAGAATTGATTTAGAATTGACCAAATTAAATGATTAAAGTTTCAAATAATTTCATTTATAAATTTCAACAAAAAAAATTTATCATTTTTTGAAAGAATTACTTTTGTAATTTTTAGAAATAGTTAAATTTAAATAATGCGTTACATTGAAATTATTAAAAATATTTTCATTCTTGTAGACAAAATAAATATTTAAATATTTATTTTAAAAAATTATTTTATTTATGAATGCAATTAAGAAATTATAAAAAAATTATTTAAATATGTTAAGAGTAATTGAATCCTGATATTTTATTAAAATTGATTGAAAATAATTAAATTCTAGTAAGGGATTTTAAAATAATTACAAATCTGCAAGTAAATTTATCAAATATTTTATGGATAATTGAATTTTTTTGTGAATTTTATTGAAAATAATTGAATTCATACGAAAAATTGAAAATAATTGAAATTCGACAAAGAAATTGATCAACATTTAAAAAAAATGGAATCCAGATATTTTATTAAAATTTTATTTGAAAATAATTGATTTCTAGCAAAGAAATTTATACAAATAATTTAAATTTTAACATGAAATTTAGGAAAAATTTTAAGAATAATTGAATACTTTTGAAAAATGTTATTGAAAATAAATAAATAATTGAATTTCTGCTAAGAAATTCATCAAAAATTTTGAGAATTATTGAATTCTTTTAATAAAATTTCTAATTAAGTTCATTTAAAATTCAAATTCAAATTTTCTATACAATTTCAAATTGAAAAAGTTTTAATTGAAATTTTGTAAAATTATATTGAAAATAATTGGTTTTTTTTTAAAGTAGTGGATTAAGAGTTTCAAAAATAAATTTTTTAAAAAATTATCCTTGTAAATTTTATAAATATAATTTAATTCTCAAAAATTGTAATGAAAAATCAAATTGAAAATTACATTTAGGTAAAAAATGCATATGAAGAAATTATTTTAAAAAAGTAATTCTTTAATATAAAAAAAAGTAATTTTTTAATTTGACATTTTCTTAAGTCTGAAAATTGATTACTGCGAACTGTTTGACAAATTGTTATTAAACTATACTGTTAACGAATTGATGACGCAAATTTTTGATTTTTTCAGGTTCATTTAGCTTTTTCCTTGTGCGGACTCAATCTGGACTAATATGAACAACATTGAACTATTTTACCGAATCATTAAAATTACCGAATCATTGCAGTCTTTTAATTAATAATAAATAAATATTAAGGAAATAAACTAAAAATTACGTTTCTTCAAGTAACTTATGTACTTCAAAAGACAAAAGTACACATTAAGTGATACAACTCGAGTACAGTCAGACTTGCATTCTAACTGTAATTCCAAGACGAAAAAAAAAGTTTATTCATAAGTTATTTTCTTTCAAATAAAATTATTGTCCTTACTATTTTCATTACTAATTCCTTTTTTAATATTCCCTTTCCTACATTTTTAATATTTTAATATTTTTAATATTAAAAGAATTATTTAAAATTTTAAAGACAAACAAATTTCTTAAAATTCGAAGTCGAGAAATAATATATTTGTAAGTACTTTTAACCTCAGGCTCAAGAAGGAAACAGTGCTGCCAGCTTTTGAGTATCAGAAGGATTCTCTATGGTACATTACTGTTAGAAGGTATTTACCGGCATTATTACCGACAGAAAGAAAAATGTGAAAATAGAAAATATTTTTTCAAAATTTCCCAGTAGATGCCAGTGCAGTATAGTAAAAAAAAGATACATTTTTTGTTCAGAAAAGTTTCTTTTAAAAATAAATTTGAAATTCTCTTTTTGGGACGCATGAATATTCCCCACATTGAACTTGCAACAATTTTTGTGGTATCGAAATAAAAAACTTAAAATATCTACTTATTAGAACTGCAATAATTCGAGTTTTCTTTTAAACAAATTTTTATAACAAGAAATTAGTATTTGAAAAAATATTTATTAACTACTTTTTTCATTTGACTGTATATTAATTTATAAAAATATCCATGTAGGGAAATATGAAAGAATAGAACATTTAGTTGTTCAGCGTTTTTTTTAGTATGTATTTTAAAAAATAAAAATTTTGCTTAAATGAAATTTTAAGTGCATAAAAGTTTATTTAAAAGGATTATAACCTAAAAAATTTGTCAATTATCAGAATTTTCATATCGTAGTATTTCTATATTATCGAATTTTTATGTAACGTAAAATATATGTAATTGAGCTATAATCTCACAGAATTTATATTTAACATAATTTTGATGTACAACTATTTATATTTAGTTGAAATTATATT